GAAATAGCTGGAGTCATATCCGTTTCAGGAGGACTGATATTATCATGGACAGACGAAAGACTAACATGGGACCCTAATGCATTCGGCAATTTGACGGAAACCACAATTTCTCAGAATACAATATGGCGACCAAATCTATTTACTACTGATCCGTTATCGAAAGATTTCTCTGTTGGACATCAGGATTTCAAGATAAGGGTAACATCTGCTGGACACGTGAGTTGGTCTCCAGGAGGAATGCTAAGAGGACTGTGTATACCAAATGTAAGCAAATTTCCCTTTGATACCCAAACATGTAAAATAGAAGTATTTGCTTATGGATACACTCCAAATGAAGTTTCCTTTATAATGCTGTCACCTACAGTGTTACTGACATACTTCCATCAGAATAGTGAATATATTCTTACAGGATCAAAAGCCAGTGTGCAACACCTCATGTCAGATATTGCAGAATTTCACTTCATATTGAAAAGAAGATCGCTGAATGTCTTGGTGAGCATTATTTTGCCGATCATCATGTTGTCTCTGATCAATCCGTTGGTCTTCATTCTGCCATTCTCTTCAGGAGAGCGTTCCTCATACAGTATCACAGTACTGCTAGCCTTCACTGTGTACATGACTGTTGTGAGTGACAAGATGCCTGAATCTTCAGAACCAATGTCCTACCTTTCCTTCTACATACTGTCTCTTCTCGCCATCAGCACAATCATCGTCATCACGAACGTCTGTCAAATCCGAATACGAGAAAAGGAAGAAGGCTCGGTGCCACAATGGATCATCAACTTATCATTTCTGCTGAAGTCAAACAGACAAGTGCGTGATGAAATTTTGGAAGACTCTGATATGACCCAGCAAAACACTGAAATGAATCATCCATCAACCATTCAAGCCCCAATAGATGAAATTAAAGACAGGAAGGACAAGATGGCCGATATACAGCCTCCTGGAAATGTTACATGGAATAATATAGCAAAGTTTTTAGACAAAATGTACTTCATAATTTTCCAGACTCTGATTATTGTGCTAACTATAGTGTTATTTGTATTGACTGCCTCTTGAAACTGATCTCTCATTAGAAAATCGGCTAAGGTCACTATTATGAGAGACTCCTTTTCATTCCAATATGAATAGTAGTTATTCGTTTTAAACACGTGAGTATTTATAATCGTTGTATCTTTATGTAAACGTTTGGTCACTGTTCAAACAACAACTGGTTTTAGTTAGCTGCGTTCCCCCCCCCCCCCCCCCCCCCCCCCCCTCAAAAAAAAAATCATTAAAATGGAGTATCTTTTTATCCTTTTTGTATTACATGCGGCACTCTCCGGCCTTTTCCTTGTGTTTGTATCTGTGATCTAGATAATTGATTCCGTGCCTCTCTATAGACTATTAAATGGAATACACTTTCCTGGACGTCGATATTCTCATTTTCGATATTGGATGATGAAATATTTGGATGTGATTAGTGTAAAATATCCTTCTATTGTAAGCAATCGATTCTCAAGGTCTTCGTTGAAAATAAATGATAGTTTAAAACAAGATTGATATGTAATGTCAAAGTTTATTTGTGGAAATTGTTGAAAGTTTGCAATTATCATGTGTTTAAGCAGGTTAATTATAAAACACCATATATATCACACTTGTTTGTTAGTGCGTTTTCTTTTGTTTGACGTCCTTGCAACAACCCGGGTCGTGTAGATGGTTGCCACAAATAATGGAGGCATTCACAAAGCAATTTTGGAGAATAATAAAGTTTAAACGAGGAGTTTCAAAAATGGGGCGGCAGCCAACGAATTCAAAAATTGTAAAAGCGGTAGTGATATAGATGTATTGTATATTTTCTAGCTTTTACAGACTTAATATACCAAATCTACATATTGTATAATCGTATTTACTACAGACGTTAAGAGTTAATAGAATACACGATATACAATTTGTACATCACAGTAAGAAGACTGGATTGAAATCCTTTAAATACAGATGTGTGTGTTTTATTGAATTCAATCAAATACAGATATCTGTGTGTTTGATGGAATTCAGACGTTTACAGATGTGTGTGTTTGATGGGATTGAATCAAATACACACGTGTATTTGATATATGTCCGTTATATGCCGATGTGATGGTCTGATGGATTTTGTAAATCATTTATAAATAGGTGTGTGGGCTTGATAGATCTCCTTTATATATACACTTGACACAAAAAGTTAAAGATCATAAATAAACATTATTTTCTGCGCTTAAAATAGATAAAGCTTGACGCTCCTTGACTACTTTCAACGTCCAATGTATGCACGATAACATTTCGGTAACGTTTTGCCCGTGCAGCCTACAGTAACGTGCGGCAAGACATCATGTAACACAGGCTTAAATCAAACTGTCGATGGTGGTTTTATTGAAAGTCTGTGTGGACTTATCAAGTCAATAAAAATTGTGTGTCATTTTGCACATGTTTTGAACATTTGTTAGCATGATACTTTACATGACAACTGCAGAGGCTGACCAAACAGTCGGGATGCTGCAAGCAGGACTCACAACCAACCTGAGCTGCACATTTCTTTGTGTCACAGAATGTCATTTCTCGATGATGGAATCGATTTCAGATGACCGTAAACGTCACCAAGAGACCACATTGTACGACAGCCCGGCAGTATTGTTATTTTAGCATTCATCAGGTTTGCATTCGGTTTGCAAGTTCCAATAGTTGAATAGTGTCTTCCGTCCAGCAACAAGAAGAACTTCTGCACAAACAGTGAGGAATAGACTTCACAGCCCTGAATCACAGACCCCCTGTAGCCCTCGACTCACACTCCGTCACTGTATAGCGTGAGGTAGTTGAGTCCCAGGAATCAGGTTTGATGGTCGGACTGACTTGTACGTGGTTGAATGTAGTTAACCTCACAGGTTTACGGTTCCGGGATGAAACTTTCATCCAATTGTAAAACCCTTGGTGGCCTTTGTATATCGGTGCCTTTTGTCTACAGATACTTTATTGGCGACTGTTATATGTGTAGGGCTAATAGATGTCATTGATATGTATATGTGTAGGTTTGGGTTTATTTTGTTTAACGTCCTATTAACATCGATGATAATTTCACGGCCTCCCTATGTATGTATGATAGGTGTGTTTCTTTTTGAAGGCTGCGATATGTTTATGAAACCTCCTCTTGATAGTGTGGAACTGATGTGGCTTGATAGTGCTTTCACAATGAAGTCTACTGTCAAAAGCACCCAGCAGGCTACTCCACCCGAAGGCAAACAGTTTGTGTTGACCAGATGACAGTGCACAAGAAATCTTCCTCTTAGGACCTAGTGCCCAACTGAAAGCCAAAATTGAGTTGTATAGTCAATGGATACATAAGCAAATTTGTTGTTTACAATGACGAGTAATGATTATTTTAGACAATGGCGTTGGAAGCACTGGTGTGTAGTTATTATTGTACCGACCTGATGGATTCCTTTATAAGTCATTTATAGATATGTTTAGGGTCCGAGGGAAACCCTCTACCAGTAGGTGTGTAGGCTGAACGGAAGGCTTACAGGAGTAAATGTTTGACGAATCTGCTATATATAGATGTGTACGTCTGCTGAAAATCCTTTCGAAAAAGGCGTAAAAGTTAGATGGAAGTTTTTGACATATATAGGTATATAGAAAGATGTAACGTGTAGGTCTGATGAGATACTTTATAATGTGTGTTCCTAATGAAAGACTTTTACATGTACTGTATGTGTGTCGGTCACATAAAGTTCGTTTATGTATAGGTGAGTAGGCAGATGGAGGTTCTTATTGTCTATAGGTGTGTAGGCCTGGCGAAAGTCCTTTTATATAGGGGTTTTAAGGTTTGATTGAGGTCCTTTATGCTTTATGTATATGTGCGTAAGCCTAGTGGAAGTCCTTTACATACAGGTGTGTAGGTCTGTTGGACGTCCTTTATACACAGGTGGGTATGTACGATTAAAGTCCTTAATAAAGAGGTGTATAGGTCGCACGGAAGTCCTTTATATGCGTGGGTCTGATGGAAATTCTTTATAAACAGGTGCGTAGGTTGATGAACGTTCTTTATAAAGAGGTGTTTACGTCTGATAAAAGTCCTTTATAAACAGGTTCGTAGGTCTGATAGAAATACTTTATATACAGGTGTGTAGGTCACATGGAAGTCCTATATATACAGGTGTTGGTCACATGGACATCCTTTATATACAGGTGCGTAGGTCTCAAGAAAGTCCTTTATATACAAGTGTGAAGGTCACATGAAAGTACTTTATATGCAGGCGTAGCTGTGTAGGCCTATCCGACAAATCACAGGTATGCTGAAAATCCTATATACATGTAGATGATGGGGCATCATGGAAGCCCTTAATATATAGGTATGTAGTGGTGATTGACATCTTTAGATAGATATGTAGGTCTGACACACATTCCATGTACATCGCGTTAATTTTATGTTCATATCCTTGTCAGTTAAAGCAACCTGATGAACCGACCCTATCATTTCATACATCCATGCAACACAAAACAAAACACAGAAAATTGTGTGTAACTTTTTAATAACACAACTTTCACTAGAGGCCTACACTACACAGGTAATGTATCAATAAGGTTCGGGTATATACCTGTAAGAACAATTCACAAAATATTTGATGTGCATATGTAGTATGTATGTCCATGTTCATACAACCGAATACAACTGCCTATTATGTACATATTTAGATCAGGTACAAATCCTCTCCATATACTTATCTGATGTTCTCTGTATTTTCCCCAATCTCCGAAAGGTTCCGTTCTCGCTATACTTGTATCTTCGGCAAGTTGAAGGCTTGCTGTTATATGCGCTCGTATGGTTTTAAATTGACAATTAACTTATAGATAGACTGATGTGTTTCTTCTGAAGATAACACTATTTAAGGACCCTAAGGACACAGGCCAAACGACTACTAGGACTAGAGAGAAGTCTATCAATACCTATCCCAACAACACGTCCATCAGTCAGGTACTCCGAGAAAATGGTATGCATTTACTTTATACTGTTAAGTGTAGTATACAGTACAAGTTGGGCTGCTTCCCTCAAGGATGCAGACTCTCTGTTACAGAACCTTTTCGCGTCTTACAACACTGAACTACGCCCAGTTCAAGACCAGGACCAACCGGTCCTCACCTCGATTTTATTTTCTCTGATCTCCATTAACAGTTTTGACGAAATAGCTGGAGTCATATCCGTTTCGGGAGGACTAATATTATCATGGACAGACGAAAGACTAACATGGGACCCAAATGCATTCGGCAATTTGACGGAAACCACAATTTCTCAGAATACAATATGGCGACCAAATCTATTTATTACTGATCCGTTATCTGAAGATTTCTCTGTTGGACATCAGGATTTCAAGATAAGGGTAACATCTGCTGGACACGTGAGTTGGTCTCCAGGAGGAATGCTAAGAGGACTGTGTATACCAAATGTAAGCAAATTTCCCTTTGATACCCAAACATGTAAAATAGAAGTATTTGCTTATGGATACACTCCAAGTGAAGTTTCCTTTATAATACTGTCACCTACAGTGTTACTAACATACTTCCATCAGAATAGTGAATATATTCTTACAGGATCAAAAGCCAGTGTGCAACACCTCATGTCAGATATCGCAGAATTTCACTTCATATTGAAAAGAAGATCGCTGAATGTCTTGGTGAGCATTATTTTGCCGATCATCATGTTGTCTCTGATCAATCCGTTGGTCTTCATTCTGCCATTCTCTTCAGGGGAGCGTTCCTCATACAGTATCACAGTACTGCTAGCCTTCACTGTGTACATGACTGTTGTGAGTGACAAGATGCCTGAATCTTCAGAACCAATGTCCTACCTTTCCTTCTACATACTGTCTCTTCTCGCCATCAGCACAATCATCGTCACCACGAACGTCTGTCAAATCCGAATACGAGAAAAGGAAGAAGGCTCAGTGCCACAATGGATCATCAACTTATCATTTCTGCTGAAGTCAAACAGACAAGTGCGTGATGAAATGTTGGAAGACTCTGATATGACCCAGCAAAACACTGAGATGAATCATCCATCAACCATTCAAGCCCCAATAGATGAAATTAAAGACAGGAAGGACAAGATGGCCGATATACAGCCTCCTGGAAATGTTACATGGAATAATATAGCAAATTATTTAGACAAAATGTACTTCATAATATTCCAGACTCTGATCATTGTGTTAACTATAGTGTTATTTGTATTGACTACCTCTGGAGACTGATCTCTCATAAGAAAATCGGCTGAGGTCACTATTATGAGAGACTCCTTTTCATTCCAACGTGAATAGTAGTTATTCGTTTTAAACACGTGAGTATTTATAATCGTTGTATCTTTGTGTAAACGTTTCGTCACTGTTCAAACAACAACTGCTTTAAGTAAGCTTCGTTCGAACCTCCCCACCCCCCCCCCAAAAAAAAGGAGAGATTTCTATCTATCATTAAGATGGCATATCTTTTTATCCTTTTTGTATTACATGCGGCACTCTCCGGCCTTTTCCTTGTGTTTGTATCTGTGATCTAGATAATTGATTCCGTGCCTCTCTATAGACTGTTAAATTGAATACACTTTCCTGGACGTCGATATTCTCATTTTCGATATTGGATGATGAAATATTTGGATGTGATTAGTGTAAAATATCCTATTTTAAGCAATCGATTCTCAAGGTCTTCGTTGAAAATAAATGATAGTTTAAAGCAAGATTAGTATGTAACGTCAAAGCGTATAAGTTAGTTTGTGGAAATTGTAGAACGTTTGCAAGTATCATGTGTTTAAACAGGTTAATTATAAAACACCATAGATATCATACGTGTTTGTTAGTGCGTTTTCTTTTGTTTGACGTCCTCGCAACAGCTCGGGTCGTGTAGATGGTTTCCACAAATAATGGAGGCATTCACGAAGCAATTTTGGAGAATAATACAGTTTAAAAGACGAGTTTTAAAAATAGGGCGGCAGCCAACGAATTCAAAAATTGTAAAAGCGGTAGTGATACTTATATAGATGTATTGTATATATTCTAGCTTTCACAGACTTAATATACCAAATCTACCGATTGTACAATCGTAATTACAACAGAAGTTAGAGTTAATAGAATACACGATATACAATTTGTACATCTCGATTACAAGACTGGATTGAAATCCTTTAAATACAGATGTGTGTGTTTGATGGAATTCATTCATATACAGATGTGTGTGTTTGATGGAATTCTTTCATATACAGATGTGTGTGTTTGATGGAATTCAATCGAATACTGGTGTGTGTGTTTGATAGAATTCAATCAAATACATATGTGTTTGTTTGATGGAATTCATACATATATACATGTGTGCGTTTGATGGGGTTCAATCAAATACACGTGTGTGTTTGATGGAATTCATTCAGGGTTAAATCAAACTGTCAATTGCAGTTGTATTGAAAGGCTGTGTGTCAAGTCAATAAAAAAGTATTTCTTCTGAATGTCCTGTCATTTTGCATCCTGTTTTAAACATTTGTTAGCATGATACTTTACATGACAGCTACAGAGGCTGGCCAAACAGTCGGGATGCTGCAAGCAGGACTCAAAACGAACCTTGGCTGCATATATCTGTGTGTCACAGAATGTCATTTCTCGACGATGGAATCGATTTCAGATGACCGTAAACGTCACCAGAAGACCACATTGTACGACAGCCCGTCAGTATTGTTATTTTAGCATTCATCAGGTTTGCATTCGGTTTGCAAGTTCCAATAGTTGAATAGTGTCTTCCGTCCAGCAACAAGAAGAACTTCTGCACAAACAGTGAGGAATAGATTTAACAACCCCGAATCACAGACCCCCTGTAGCCCTCGACTCACACTCCGTCACTGTATAGCGTGAGGTAGTTGAGTCCCAGGAATCAGGTTTAATGGTCGGACTGACTTGTACGTGGTTGAATGTAGTTAACCTCACAGGTTTACGGTTCCGGGATGAAACTTTCATCCAATTGTAAAACCCTTGGTAGCATTTGTATATCGGTATCTTTTGTCTACAGATACTTTATTGGCGACTGTTATATGTGTAGGGCTAATAGATGTCATTGATATGTATATGTGTAGGTTTGGGTTTATTTTGTTTAACGTCCTATTAACATCGATGATAATTTCACGACCTCCCTATGTATGTATGATAGGTGTGTTTCTTTTTGAAGGCTGCGATATGTTTATGAAACCTCCTCTTGATAGTGTGGAACTGATGTGGCTTGATAGTGCTTTCACAATGAAGTCTACTATCAAAAGCACCCAGCAGGCCACTCCACCTGGAGGGATTTTACTAGTCGTTACCCTTTCAGTAGGCAAATGGAGGTTCTTATTGACTATAGGTATGTAGGTCTGGTGAAAGTCATTTTATATAGGGGTGTTAAGGCCTGATGGAGGTGCTTTATGCCGTATGCATATGTGCGTAAGCCTAGTGAAAGTCCTTTACATACAGGTGTGTTGGTCAGATGAAAGTCCTTTATACACAAATGGGTAGGTCTCTTTACAGTCCTCAATAAAGATGTGTATAGGTAAGATAAAAATCTTTCATACGCAGATGCGTAGGTCTGATGGAAGTTCTCTTTATACATTGCAAGGATCTAACGAAAATTCTTTGTATAGAGTTGTGTAAACCTTATACAAGTCCTTTATAAAAGGTTGCGTAGGTATGATAGAAGTCCTTTATAAACAAATGTGTAAGTCTGGAGGAAGACCTTTATATAGAGTTGCCCTGGTCTGATAGTTATTCTTTATAAACAGGTGCGTAGGTTGATGAACGTTCTTTATAAAGAGGTGCGTAGATTTGATAGAAGCCCTTTATATACAAGTGTGTAAGTCTGCTGGTATTCTTTACATACAGTTGTGTAACCTTATGCAAGTCCTTTATAAACAGGTACGTTGGTCTGATAGAAGTCCTTTATATACAAATGTGTAAGTCTGGTGGAAGTCCCTTATATAAAGATGCACGGGTTTGATAGAAATTCTTTATAAACAGGTGCGTAGGTTGATGAACGTTCTTTATAAACAGGTACGTAGATCTAATAGAAGTCCTTATATATTAGTGTGTAAGTCTTCTTGCTTCTTGTATTCCTTTATATACAGTTGCAGGGGTCTGATGGAAACTGTTTATAAACGTGTGTAGGTTGATGAACGTTCTTTATAAAGAGGAGCGTATATATGATAGAAGTCATTTGTATACAGGTGTTTAGGTCACATGGGAGCCCTTTATATACAGGTGTGTAGGTCTCAAGGAAGTCCTTTATATACAGGTGTGAAGGTCACATGGAAGTCCTTTATATACAGGTGTGAAGGTCACATGGAAATCCTTTATATACAGGTGCGTAGATCTCATGGAAGTCCTTTACATGCAGGCATAGCTGTGTAGGCTTATTCGACAAATCGCAGGTATGCTGAAAATCCTATATAGATGATTGGGCATCATGGAAGCCCTTAATATATAGGTATGTAGTGGTGATTGACATCTTGAGATAGCTATGTAGGTCTGACACACATTCCATGTACATCGCGACAATTTATGTTCATATCCTGGTCAGTTAATGCAACCTGATGAAACGAACCTATCATTTCATACATCCATGCAACACAAAACAAAACATAGAATAATGTGTGTAACTTTTTAATAACTCAACTTTCACTAGAGGCCTACACTACACAGGTAATGTATCAATAAGGTTCGGGTATATACCTGTAAGAACAATTCACAAAATATTTGATGTGCATATGTAGTATGTATGTCCATGTTCATACAACCGAATACAACTGCCTATCATGTACATATTTAGATCAGGTACAAATCCTCTCCATATACATATCTGATGTTCTCTGTATTCCCCCCCTCCCCCTATCTCCGAACGGTTCCGTTCTCCTTATACTTATATCATCGCCGAGTTGAAGGATTGCTGTTATATGCGCTCGTTTAGTTTTAAATTGACAATTAACTTATAGATAGACTGGTGCTTTTCTTATGACGATAAAACTAGGAGCTACATCCTAATAAAAGGCAGTAAAAATTACCCTTACGCTGCAACTCGGTTAATTTTATTTGTACCAATGAAATCGTAGATAATTCATGAATCTCAAGTATGTCAGTTAAACCCCCCCCCCCCCCACCATCGTAGTGTCTGACTTATCTAGAAATTCAAATGGTGCAGCGACAGTTACTGGCTTGTAATATGTATCGCTAAGTCAACAGACAGTCATTTTGAGACAACGGGTTCTTGCAGCAGCTGGTGGTTTCCTCACTGAACAACATACGGGAAGCCCGACGTATCTCTTTCACTGGGGGAACAAAACCACAACAGCATACGATGGTCCGTGATATCAGCTTCTTTTTTTGTGAAAAGTAAATTTCAGAGAACCCATCTCGGGCCTTCACCCATGGTTGCAAAGTCTAAAGCTCAAAAAAGGATTACGGCCCTGAGATTGAATCCCACGGATTTTGAAGATGGTGTGACCAGTTAAGTCACATTGTCACATGCGTGATTTTATATTAGAAATCATCATTTCTGGTGGATCTCTCCTGATTATGATGTGCTATTTTTATCACAGGTCAATACTGACCAAGCCTACGTGAGTACAGTAATGAATACAGCGCTATAGCCAATTAACTGGCTCACGATGAAGAGTCTTCGCTGACACGGCTGTTTGGATTCAAGGCTTGAATACCAACTTATTTTATATAACACTGTCGTATACACAGTATAAAAATACAGACAAGTAAATATATACATACCTGTTCATTTACCATGAAGGCTGACCGATGTATATACCTACTATAACTTAACACTTCAGAGCTAGGCTCAGATTTCGCACCTTTTTGAGATGTGGCCAACTTAGGGCCGAAGGGTGTGGTCGGAAGGTTTCGTGTGTACTTGTGGTCAGATAGAGGTGTGGATGGAAGCTGGCTACACAGATTGATATGCTGCCGAGTGTGGTAAAACTATTAGTATACATGTACTGAAGAGGCCTGCGTAGGATTGATACGTAACGTCAAACCGTAAGTATATAGACATATCGATTTGGTTTGTCGATCTTGTTTGTTTTTCATATTAACTCAGCAAATAATTAATAAAGCAAGATTTACTCTCTCCTGACAAAAAAAAGATGTCGAAATCATATGTAAACACTCCGTCATGGTAGACTTGTATCACGCTGTACTCTGTCACCTGTAACTCATATTTTCTAACTTTAAACTTTGTCATAAGTCAGGATATATACCGAGAGCTTATATATGTAAAAATGCGAGTATTACCTACCATGTCACTCTTTACCAGAGATAAATCCTTGAAATATATCGAATACACATGTGCTAACCTAGGGCTCAAGGGCATGTAGAGCTCACATCGTTTAGTGGAATGTGTGACTATTGTAGAGCTAAGATCAATGTCTCAATAACACACATACATACGGGCCGCGGCGCTTTTTATCACATATGCCCGCATACTGAAATAGCCGTTTCCGTAACTACCGATATTTGTCTACACGTACTTCTTTCCGAAAATGGTTTGACAACTGTTATAGCCTCGTAGGAGTTCGTACCCTGTCGAACTTCAACCGTCTTAAAAATATCTTATCTAACATGCTTCAACTGTGTCGGTAATCATTCTGAATCACAAAGATATTGACAAACTTTTTCTTCAGAATATATATTCGACTCTAACACCAGATAAATTTGAAGTTCTTCTTAAGTGACACATTTATGATAGGACAGCCATAAATACAAAGACATGTTTTTTTTTTTATTTACAACATTGCATTTAGTCTTCATTTTATAGAATTTAATTGTTTTTTCTTGACCATAGTGAACATGAAAATATATAATGAAATTCCTCGCCTACTAGTATCTGGATTATTACATACAAAATGTTGTAACAGACTTTCTCTGTACTGTAGAGAGATTTGTTTTAGGCCTTCAAACATCCCTGGTTATTATATACTACATGCTTTGAGTAGCACACATTACAATTATCCCCTTTGAGATCTAACGATCTCTACTTCGAGTCTCCCCAATGTCTCGTCATTAGATATGCCAGTGAGAGCAAAACATCATCATTACACAATACACAACCCATACTGGTTGTTTACATACACAGTACTACAATACAGTAGTCGTATATATAGATATAAAATATATGCAAATGAGATGTCTGATACCTTTATGAATCATCTTGTATACTTATATCTTGTATACGTTTTATGATATATCACACTAGATACACTACGTGTTGACAAAGGCCCAATTATACATAATTTACGTGTGTAGGCAGCTGGTACTTCTTGTGATTTACACTGTTACCCTGTTTAACCACCGTTGGAAGAGGAAGGGAGAGGCGGTATTGAAATGAGATATATATATATTAAATCACGATTATCTATCTCAAGGAAGATTTAAATTATGAATTTAACAGGATTTAGTTCCTTCAGTTTTTTTTCAGATATCGGGTTAAGTAAGCATGTTGATGTTGGAGACTGGGAAAATGTTAAAGAAAGTGAGTGTAGTAATAGAAATTGATTATGTGATTCATCGATAGAGGAATTACATTTTAACTTATGTTTTTAATCATTAATTCATTGTTAAGAAGGACGTGTAAAGGATGTCTCCGGTGTCCGAATACATCCTACAATCACGGGTACGAAGGTATTTACATTTCTACAGACGTACCAGAACAGGTCAACCTCGTTACGTCACATAGCCTGCGGAGGTGACCTGACAACTAAAACTATTGTGATTACAAATGTTACAAAAACATCTTCCGATAAGGAGCTTATCCGTTGTGTGTCCAGTTTCACTGACTGCAAGACAGATAAGATAATACAAATACGACAATAACTTCCCTATACGGCACTAGACGAAGAAATGTATAAGATACATACACAATGCCCAGACTTACTTTCGCGCAAGTTCTGCATATTCTAAATGGAAACTTTGAACATTTTAAACGGTTGGTAAATTATAGTCGAAGAATGCAATGTCTTATAAGCCTAGTTACATGTAGAACAGTAGAGAAATACGGAATTAAGCACAATATTAGTATAAATGATGATTTTCTGATACCTATATTTTAAATATGCGATAACGTACAACATAAGTGTAAGTGAATAGGGCGGGGGAGGATATATATGATTTGCAGTAACGACGGTGGAGAGGAGGTGTAACAGTGACAAGGATGGAGAGGGGTCGCGGTACGAGGGTGGAGTGGAGTAACAACGACGAAGGTAGTGGGTGTAACAGTGACAAGGCCGAGGGCAGGTATGCAGTAGCGAGGTTGTATGCGATGTGGTGCAGTGAAGAGGATGGGAGAAGTGCAGTGAAAATTGTGGGGGAGGGGCGCAGTTGCGATGTGGGATAAAGTGTACACTGAAGGGGGTAAGAGAGGAGGTGCAGTAACAAGAGTTGGGAACGAGGTGCAGTGACGAGGGTAGCGAGGAAATTCTGCAGTTGCAACGACGGGAAATAAGCAGTGACGACGGGTAGTGGAGAGGATGTGGAAAGACAGAGGTGGTGGAGAAGTGGTTGCGAGAGTGGAGAGGTGGTGCAGCGACAAAGGCGGGGGAGGAGGTGGAGTGACGAGTGTAGATTGAAGATACTGCAGCTGCAAGGACGGGGAAAGCAGTGACGAGGGATAGTGAAGAAGATGCGGAAAGACACGGGTGGCGAGAGTGGTTGAAAGATGGAGTGACAAGGGCGGGGGAAGAGGTGAAGTGACGAGGGTGAGAAGAGTGTGCAAAAACGAGGGCGCTTGAGAACACGCAGTGACGAGAGTATTGGAAGGCGTGCAGTGACATGCGACGTTACACCTATAATCCCCGGACTTGTAAATCAGTGCATGTTTTGTTACGCATGTGGACACGACATCCTAAATGACATTTTCATCTTTTCAGACGACCTATTCGATTTTACCTTAATGCCAATCACTTTAAAACATACCTATTTTTGAAGGAGTTTAGTTCGTGTCAGTCAGGAACTCGCATGACGAAGAGCTCACATATAACGTATGTGACAGTCAAATGCTTTTTGACTTTGTTCGGATCAAGACTTTATGAGATGGAGAACATTCAAGAGTCCTGATGGCAGACCAATGATGAGATTTCAGTGCGATATCAAATTATTGCGTAATTTTAAAATCAAAACACTCTTACAGTGCGTGTTTTAATGTCTATTCCATGTTCTGATAAATCATTTTCTATTATTGTAGGAAAACAAACAATGGATAAAATTGTTTTGAAGACTATGCACACAAGGCTACGTACACAATCTATTTACCAACCATCTGTTCGAGAGGTCTCCGAGGACGGTGACTTTACTAGCCTCAGAGAGGCGCGCAAGGTTTGCCATTTTAATTTTAAGTTCACGAAAATACGTTTATCTTAAATTGATCATATATGAATATATGATGACTATTTAAGTATGAATAATGATAATAATCAGAAAAAAAAAGAAAAAACGCACTTTACGGCATTTAGATGATGTCCGTTATGAAGGTCTCTTCGAGGTCTAATAGAGGTGGAAAGGGACTGAAGTTGGTACAGATATTATTGTGTTCATGGCCATGTAAATGCATTTTCCCTGCTAGTTTAAGTTATGATCTTGGAAACTTGCTGTGGAAAGCGACTTTTTACAAATAACTCGACACAACAAATGATCATACCGGTAGTTGTACAGCAGGTAACGAAAGATATATGTTATTATATTAGCTCATTAATTTCCTTTGTTCGACCAGGCCCATGCACGAGAGAGAGCACAAAAGAGGCAGAGAAGTGAAATCAAAGAAGATGAAAAAGAAGAACAGCAACAAGAGAAATCTTCAATAGACGCATCACTTAAACCTACACCGAAGGACGAGAGCCATGAAGAGATCAGAGTAAAATTATTTAATGCTATAGAGAATGGTTCTATTCCAGAGGTCACCTCTTTACTCGCTCAGACAAGGAGTTGTGTCAATTTACACCACAACGACATGTTAGATCCGTCCAATAGACAGAACGTGTTACATCTAGCGTTAAGTCTCCCCCGATTGGATGTCGTTGACGTTATTCTGAGCGATAAAGAAAACGATGCATTATTACATCAAGTATTTCAAGTTCCCCAAAGTACAAGATCGGTTTTACATCAAATTACAGAGCTGAACAGTTTGCCATTAGCAAAGAAGGTCTTGGAGAAGTTTTCAACAAGAAGCGAGAAAATAAAGGCTATCGAAATGGAAACCCGTGTTGTCGTTGAAGGTCAAAGACCAAGAGTATTCTCTTCGTATCACTTCGCAGCCTTCATGGGTTTTACCGATTTGGTTAATCTGTACCTTGACACAGGCGTAGATATTGATTTACTCAACGTGAAAAAGGACACGGCGTTACTATGGGCAGCAAGGTGGGGTCACATAGAAACCGTGAACTGTCTTCTTGACAGACGTGCAAATGTTAGTTTAGAAAACGACAAGAAATCTACCGCTCTGTACTGGGCTGTGCGCTACCAGAAATACGACATAGTTAGACTACTTCTAGAAAAGGGAAAGGCAAATCCCAACCAGACCAGGCTACTGGGATTGGTGGCACCCATCGTCATAGCTTCGGCCTTAGGAAATAACATGATTATCAAGGAACTCATTAATTATGGTGCGGACGTGAACACAGTCATTCGCGGAGGAGAGATGCCACTTCACCACGCGGCTAAAGAGGGCCACGTTGACGTTGTCCAGACACTCCTGAAAGAAAATTCAATACTTACGGCTCAGGATGAGAGGGGTGACAGTGCTCTAATCCTGGCGTCACAAAACGAGCATGCAGACGTCGTCAAGCTTCTCCTAGATAAGGGTGCGGACATGTATCACAAGAATCACTTTGGTATTGATGCTTGGCATAGCGCTATAACACAAGGAAGTGATGAAGTTCTTCGAGTATTGACAAAACATTACAATAAGCTATACGACAAAAACAGAACATTGAAGTCACCTTTATGCATTGCTGCAAGCCTAGGAAGATGTCGGAAAATTGAGACTCTGATTACGATGGGAGCAGATCCTGAGCATCAAGACGAGGATGGAAACACCATTCTACACCATGCTGCTGCTAATAACAAGGACGACGTAATCAAGATGTTTCACAACATTGTTGACATCAATGCTCTGAACAACAAGGGAGAGACTGCTTTACACATAGCATGTAGAGATGGTCATCATAAAGCAGTTTTAGAACTGATAGATAAAAAGGCAAAATCTAACATTGGGAACACAGATGGGGAAAACGCTCTTCATACTGTGGCTTTATCCCCAGCCACAACACCCGACATCGCTCGCGCTCTGGTTGAGCACACTATCAAGTCTCATGACTGGGAGAGCGTAAATGCAGTAGATGCTCAAGGCAACAATGCTCTTCACCTTGCAGCGCGATTTGCATCTCCGAATGTGCTTTGGGAATTTCGGTTTGTAAGATTTAGAGACACTGATGTTGATGGAAACACACCTCTCCACGAAGCTGTGATTCCTGGGAAGGAAGACATACTAAAGACAGCCCTTGACATCTACGAAGATATGCAGAGAGATGCTGACATAAACACACTAAATAGAAATTCTGAAAGTGTGCTTCATCTGGCTGCTGACGCGGGGTTCTCAGAGAGTGTGTCAAGACTAGTGTTTTACGGTGCTGACCTTACATGTGCCGATGGAGACGGTAACACCGTTCTTCACAGACTGATCAGGTCCATAACAGAGGACAAAGGCATGAGCGAGGTTTACATGAAAGTTGTGGAGACTATTTTGCATGATTCAGTCAGATGGTGGAGCACCATGCAAAGAATACCTTATCCAGCAGAGAACAAAGGACTCTTCAAAGAAATGCAGCGAGAAGCGCTAGTTTCATTGACCAACGACTACAAAAACAACGACAACCTGTCAGTCTTGGCGTATGCGTTTAAACTAGGATCAAATATATTTCTGGATCGTTTTCTGATGATGCCCGATATCATGATGTTTAAACGTGGCGAGGAAGTCTACTTTGATGTTTCATATTTGACACCATTGACAAGCCGGACCTCCAACCGATGTTGTGATATTGCAACAAGCGAACATGTGAACTCCAATATTGAGCTTTTGGTGTCTTTGGAAACCAAAGACCGTGCATCACTTGTCCTTGACGTACCGCCCGTTAGGCGGATGGAACAGATGTATACTTCCATATGTGCTTGGGCCTATGCCTTCTTTATGTTAATACACATAGTATATATGAGTTTGTTTTCCTACCTGGGTGTGTCGGTGGCAGACAAATTTCGCAACATGCACAACGGTGTTCCTTTGGTTAACACAGACTCCGTGTTGGTAGCAGTCTACGTAGTTGTTCCAATAGAGCCGATCGTAGCTATTGCATACACGGCGGGGATTATTTGCACGACCCTGTACAGGAAAGAGTCGCTCCAGGTGTACTCAATCATTTCCATGCTTTTCCTTGCTCTGTTCGCCTGTTTGACCCTTGCATGGATCGGAATGGTTGCCCAACGAGACCCTAACCAGGATTATGTTTTGGCAGTAAGTTTGTGTCTTGGCTGGTTGAGCTCAATAGCGCTGACGAGGGGCTTTAAAGGTATTCACTACTTTTTCAAAATGTTAGTCAACATGGTCGTCAGAGATGTCCTGCGTTTCCTCGTTGTGTTTTCGTTCGTACTTCTCGCATTTGGTTTTGCTTTGCACGTGGTATTTCAGATATCTTCCGATATTGTGGACACTTACTCGGACCCAATGGAAACCCTTTTCATGACATTCAACCTTATGATTGGAATGGCAGAACTATTTGATGACAATTTTGAAACCGGAATGTCAGGGGTTGGTCGTTCAGCAACATTTGCTAAAGCAATTTATCTTATCTATATATTGTTATCGACAATTGTTTTGTTAAATCTGCTCATAGCTATGATGAACGACTCCTATTCAGATATCTTACAAAATCAAAAAGTCTCTTGGCGAGTGGAATCCATTCAAATAGCCCTTGGCGTTGAACATCTTTTCCCATGGTTTCCATCTATTTTTGGTAGGATAAAAATCAAGAAAGAACTTCACGGTGAGAAATTTGCAGAAAGAGAGAGATGGTATTTGGTGACAACTGCAAGTGATCTTTTGAACTACACTTCAGAGTCTACCAATACTGACACAAATGAACGGATAACTATAACTACAAACTTCGATGAAAAACTTAATGAATTTGAAACCCGCATACAAAGTATTGAGCAGCAGGCCCATGAATCAAATAAGAAAATGGAAGAGATTAAAGAACTAATTCAGAACATAAACCACATCCTTAAAAAATGATTTTTTTTGCAGTTTTCAGTGGAAGTAAATTTATGAATCTGCTTGTTACTATATTGCTGTTTTTCATTTTTATATTTTCAGACCAGACATTTGAAAGCATTTCTGCTTAGTAAAAAATCGAACTTCCATCCCTACTTGAACAGTTATTACCCCAACATTAAGTGCTAAGTTAAGTGTGGGTTGGTTACAATGAAAATATACTGAAATATCTATGCTGGGTATGGTTTTAAGTGCATGAAGTGATTTTACTTATAATATCACATACAGTTATATTATCTAATCACCTATACACTTTTCTACTAATATCATGATATGTTTGTTGAATATCTTCCATTAATATTTGTGATCACAAAATATACCAAGGAAGAGACCAGTAGAGGAAGAGGCCAGAAGGGCAATTTGTAGTCAATAAGGTACTAGTGAGATTGTTGTGTTATTGAACTATGGAACAAGAAATCCAAAGTTATTCTTTAGGAAGGTTCTCCATTGTACCACTATTGAAATGTCAATCCATCCATAACCCTACTGCGATTGATCTTTTATGTATCTAAGGTCTGATGTTTTTGTTTTTCTGTAGCTTGGATTTTTTTGTATTGTTGTATAAAAAAAACCCACCTGAATAAGAAATATTAGATTAGGATTCAATTTATTGAATAAAAATCAGTTAAATTAAACATAATATTGATAAAAAAATACCTCATAACAAACAACTATTATATTGAAAATTCACTGCTTTAGACATATTGTTCTTCCATACTAAAAGAAATATACAGCAAATATACTGTAAACCTGCCTCAGGTCTTTTTAAATGAAATTTTCTTTATTTGGTAAGCTTACATGTGTTTTTATCAACACACTGTATATCTAACAAATCACACATATACTTACCAGTATTACTAATTATATTGATAGTACAATCATGACCATTATTTTTTTGTTCTCTGAAGCAGAAGTGAAAGTGTTTTTTGATACACAAGTGAAAGATACATGTATGTAGTATTCAAAAGGAGATCAATGATATTTTCTATTGATCATACTTTGAAAGCATGGAGACAGAAATGCTACATCATAAATACCTAACAATCTCTCATTAGATTAAGCTTAACATGGCTTTGAATCACTGGTTTTATGCTATATCGGTTTATCTGTGTTAAAAAAATTGTCAAACATGTGTATGTATATACAAAGTAAACTATGAATGTTTTTACAGCAACTGAGAAACCATTGATATCACGTTATCAGTTATTGCTGTTGGCTCGGAGGAAGTGGATGAAAAAAAGTCAGAGTACCTTGCAAAAAAGCAAGTGGTTGATTATGGGGTGAATCCATGCTTCTTAATGTTGGATCAGGGAATTTAACCTGTTACCTAAGTAAACGTGCCTTATTACTGCACTAAATTACCATATAGTAAATAAAAATATTTATTATTATAATCATGTTCCCTTCCTTTTTTTTTCATTTTAGTCTCTTTTTCTTGAAATAGAGATCTATGGTGAAAAATGTGCAGATACAGTACAAAATAGTAGAAACAGACAACACTCAAGTCATATTTACAAACCAGTATCAGTCAAATAACACAAGGCTAAAATTTCATTCTTACACAACAGTTTCTTTGACATTACAACCAATGAATATAAATTAACCTTTGTCTGGGAACTTAAAAAAAATAATGAAAAAAATAGGGGTCAAGATAACAAGAAAACATTTTACTTGAGTGTTATAAGAGATAGAATAACCTTTCTGCATGCAAGTAGGTAAACAAATGTTGTTGAAGGCATGTATTATTACTTTGACTGAGATTATTAGCTCTAGATAGATTAAATTCTTCATTAGCCATGACAAAAAAATTTCTATATTATGTACAGAAAATGTTGCACTTGGGATTAATTCTACATCACTCCAGACCATCATACCAGAAACTCATTCATTATGATAGATGACAGAACTGTTGTAGACAAATCCAGAACACCATATTGTAATGTGTAATTAATGATGTTGTATTGACCTTGCAGAAGATGCTTTGAAAACCATTCAGAATGTTATCATTGTATTACAAGCACAAAAGTATATCTCCATAAGTTGGATGTTGATATGACAATGACAATATCAAATTTAAATGAACACACATGACAACATCCTACCGAGGTTTACCATGCTATGACACATATATGGCACTTTACCATGGCAGTGGTCATTAAAAGTCTTAAGAAAGTATTTCTAAGTTGTAACAACTTATGGTCCTTAACATTCTATGGAATGCCTTTCTAAGTTATTCTCATGTTTAATCCCCTCTTCCAAATTGAACAAATGAAATAAATCCACACAATTTTAACAATAAACACTCATTACAATTCCAAATCACACACATACCACACAGGTAAAACCAGTCATTTATAGTGTTATCACATTTCTTACCAATAAATACTCACTTCTCATATACTTCATATAAAATTATCAAATAACACGGAATGTATATCATACTAACACCAAGAAAATGGTGTTACAACCATCAACCAAAAAAAAAAACCCTCACATTTTTATAAGTGCATTTCCCCTCAGAGGTAGTTTGGTAAATCAGGACTATTTTCTGGGGGTTTTGTGGGGCTGAATATTGGCCCCATTCCCAATTAATTTTATTTCAAAATATGGTCAAAGTATACAATTCAATCCTAAAATTTCTTTCCCAATTGATCAATTTTCTTCCCAAAACGGGATAAAAAAGCTATATTACAAATGAATAGAAAAAAGTCTTTTCATTCATTAATTTTGTAAAGGGCAACATCAGGTTATATTTATGTATAACCAACATCTATAATCTTACATCATGTCTACAGCTTGGACTGCTGAAACATTTGACATATCACAGGTGAAAAGTACTTTAAATACCAGGGTAGTCTTTTTTTTAAGGAAAACAATTTGACATAGAATTACACTTAAACCTCCCCCACCCAAACAGTAGAAAAATTATGTCCCATCCTGATCAAATCAAATATGGACTAAAGATAACACAGCGAGGACGGCATTGTTTTGGAGAATGAATGAGACTCCAGATTACATGCACAGGACGGAGTAACACAGGCACTACAGCAGAATTCCAACACTGACCACCTCAGAAGCGGGCGACTGGGCAGAGTGCTTCATTAGCTAATGAAAACTTGAGTTCATATATACCCATATGGAAACTGGACACACATAAACTGAAATAAAAACAAATCAAGTTCATACAAAGTATCCATTATACTGTTATTCTAGCTTGTGTAGTTTCTTGCACAATCTTAATAATATAATAAGGTTTTAAAGGCAACACAATAAATAACTATGACCACACCTGAACAAACTTTCACTCTTTATGATGTTTTAAACACATACGTGTTAATCATTTATATACATATTTTTTTAAAGTATTGAAATCATCTTCTTGTTAAAGCTAACTGAAAGTGGAAATGGAGTGAAGATGGAGTGAAAATTGATTTTTTTTGATGAATATACAACAGATTTATCAGATGGTATTAATATGTAAACACCTGAAGTACCAACGTCACATTTCATCATTTACTAGTCAGCCATGACAGTTTCTACAGGAATATGAATAATATTACAACTTACCTACTATCATCATAACATATTAAAGATGTGAGAGGACCAGATCCACTGAGTGAAGTGTCTGTGACACACTCTGAAAACAAACAGTTTCCACATCACTGTAAAAATTTAATATTACAAAGTGAAATTTTAGACATCCTTGTGAGATCAGTCATCTTATGAATTCTCTATGTGTATCATCTTTAATTTCAAGGTATCCATTTTCCTTGTTATATTTCATCCTCAAAATACAGAAAAATAGAACACCTCAAAAATTACAATAATAACAGTAACTGTAACAAAATTATACCTTTGGTATCCCTGTCCCAAATCCGCACAGAACAATCCCTTGAGGCAGTAGCTATTAGGTTTCGTCCACTAAATGGCAAGAATATGCAGGACTCAATGGCTTCCCTATGACCTTTAAACTCATGCACTATTTTCATAGATCTTAGGTCATAAAGCTGCAAAGATTAAAATACAATAATAACAATTTTTGTATGATTGTTAATAATAAGTATAATGACTACCAGGATCTTATTTACACAAATACTGCATTACTCTGTAAAATTATCTGTACATTATCTGTAGAAGGGGTTTAAAGTTATCTAAATTTTAATTTTTTAATTATAATCCAATCACATATTTTCTTTATTTTATATTCATCTTTAAAGCAGAGATGAACCTTTAAATGGAGGTAATTTTTACTATCTAGAAAACAATTTCCTGGTTTTCAGATCTACATTATATAATCTGTATGTAAAACGTTAATATCAGTCCACTCACTGTGGCTTCACAGCCATTGCCACCAAACCCATTACTACAGGTGAGGCAGTAGTTACCATCACTGCTGACATCACAACACATCTGTATATACTGCTTCTTAGGAAAAGTGTGTGTTACAAGCAGGTTATGGGTTTCAAAAATCCTGTCAAAAAAATTGTTGGGAACTTATCAGTGAACAGACATGCAAATAATTAATTTTTAAAAACATTTTATTGCAAAAAATGTTTTCTGTTGTACATGTTCATAAACATTGTTCAAAATAGAGCAACAATGCTATTAAGCTTAATCCATAGTAAATAGCAAGTATGAATCTTGTGTGCCATGTCAAGACAGCTAACATTTATCTGATACTAACTGCTCTACTGAAAATCTCTGCATTTAACAGGCCACATGGACACTTGTGTTTAGTATTATTAAAACTCTAGTCCGAGCATAAATGATGAAAAACAAGACTGCCTACCCTTCATGTTAAAGCATGTTATAATTGTGAGCAAGCTGTATAAAGGAGTCTGTGACACTGTGATGAGAAAAGGACACCTATGGTAGGATGTGATAAAGACATACCTGATGTGTTTGTCTTCTCCAGTCTGTACCAGATTGTTTGAATTGGGTATAAACTTCACATCTGTTACCTGTATTCAAACTTCTATTTCAGTCTCTCTTGAATCAGTTTAGTTTTGTTTTATCAGTATATATAAACACAGCTGAGTGAAAGTAACTTTTTCCTTCAAATGCTCAATATATATCATAAAGACTGTAACAACTTGATTTTTCTACAGTTCAAGATAGAAGTGTTTCATAATCAAATAAGAAATGTTCTCTAATAGTAAATAAAGAGATTCTAAAATATTTACCAAATTACGATGGATATTGTTTTCAAGGAGACATTCGCCTTTTTCGACATCCCACAGACGTACAGTGTTATCTCTGGACCCAGTGCACAGTAACCGACTATCTGTAATGTTACATTTGTTGATTTACTTCAAGACAACACTATTGGTATACTTTATAATATAACAAGAATAAATTAATTAACTTCTATGGTTTCATGCAGCTTGACTTCAACTTCAAATATTACGGACATTTATTTCAGAGTCTAAATGATGTCTCCTATTTTGAGAATTCTGAAAAAAATATACTACCATTGCTGATGTGAAGAGCCGTGACTACGAGATCATGTCCAGTAAAGGTTTGTACAGGTGAGGGACTACCACGACGCCACATCCGAACTGACTTGTCGCGAGACGCACTGAAATGTCCTTCACAGTTTGGTCCATAACATACCTTCAAGTTTAAATGTTATCTGATTTAGTTATTTACGAATATGCTGTAAAGCTATCAAAAGTGACTAAAAGGTGTCTGCATCGGATTAATCACATTTTTTCCTAAAATACACAAAGACATGAAAATATTCATGAGAAGAAGCTATCATTTGAAGAATTAAACATTGTTTGCTTGATTCAATTATATTCAACATTTAATGTCATTTTGAGGCAAGTTTTCTCCTGACTGTACAGGACGGTCGGTGATCTCAGCTCACTGAGAAACACAAACCACCTCAAGTAGGGATGAAACCGTAGCCTTGCATCTTTATTAAGGTATCATAAATCCAGTGCTCTATCAAGTGAGCTATCACAGCCACAAGAAGTGTAACAATAACAACAATTTACCTTACACATTGTGTTTCACTCACCTTTGTTACCTCCCTTTCATGTCCTGTCCATTTCTCCTCCAGACGATGATTGTGATAATCGTACAAAGCTACACTCTGTATTGGCAGAAAAAGTTTGAACGTGATATTAGGCGATGAATGAATATTTATCAGAAAAAAATTATAAACACTGATTAATGCTTAAAATCCTGCATCTGTTTTACCACAAATAGAAAGAAAGAAAGCTTGAAGGTCTTTCTATAGTTAAGTATATATATATAACAGAAGATAACTGGTGTCAAGAAATGTTATGTTGAAAATCAAACAGACCAGTGTTAAATAGTTAAATATACTGAATGTTTAAGAATACCCCATCCTTATATACAGCTGTATAAGTGAGAGAAAAAAAGACTTTACAGTTACCTCTACACATACACCTTACCCTGTCTTTACTGTCAGATAGACATTTACCTCTACACATACACCTTACCCTGTCTTTACTGTCAGATAGACATTTACCTCTACACATAACAACTTACCCTGTCTTTACTGCCCGATAGACATTTACCTCTACACATACACCTTACCCTGTCTTTACTGCCCGATAGACATTTACCTCTACACATACACCTTACCCTGTCTTTACTGCCCGATAGACATTTACCTCTACACATAACAACTTACCCTGTCTTTACTGCCCGATAGCCCGATAGACATTTACCTCTACACATAACAACTTACCCTGTCTTTACTGTCAGATAGACATTTACCTCTACACATACACCTTACCCTGTCTTTACTGTCAGATAGACATTTACCTCTACACATAACAACTTACCCTGTCTTTACTGTCAGATAGACATTTACCTCTACACATAACAACTTACCCTGTCTTTACTGCCCGATAGACATTTACCTCTACACATACACCTTACCCTGTCTTTACTGCCCGATAGACATTTACCTCTACACATAACAACTTACCCTGTCTTTACTGCCCGATAGACATTTACCTCTACACATACACCTTACCCTGTCTTTACTGCCCGATAGACATTTACCTCTACACATAACAACTTACCCTGTCTTTACTGTCAGATAGACATTTACCTCTACACATAACAACTTACCCTGTACTGCCCGACAGACATTTACCTCTACACATAACAACTTACCCTGTCTTTACTGCCCGATAGACATTTACCTCTACACATAACAACTTACCCTGTCTTTACTGCCCGATAGACATTTACCTCTACACATACACCTTACCCTGTCTTTACTGCCCGATAGACATTTACCTCTACACATACACCTTACCCTGTCTTTACTGTCAGATAGACATTTACCTCTACACATAACAACTTACCCTGTCTTTACTGTCAGATAGACATTTACCTCTACACATAACAACTTACCCTGTCTTTACTGCCCGATAGACATTTACCTCTACACATACACCTTACCCTGTCTTTACTGCCCGATAGACATTTACCTCTACACATAACAACTTACCCTGTCTTTACTGCCCGATAGACATTTACCTCTACACATACACCTTACCCTGTCTTTACTGCCCGATAGACATTTACCTCTACACATAACAACTTACCCTGTCTTTACTGTCAGATAGACATTTACCTCTACACATAACAACTTACCCTGTCTTTACTGCCCGACAGACATTTACCTCTACACATAACAACTTACCCTGTCTTTACTGCCCGATAGACATTTACCTCTACACATAACAACTTACCCTGTCTTTACTGCCCGATAGACATTTACCTCTACACATACACCTTACCCTGTCTTTACTGCCCGATAGACATTTACCTCTACACATACACCTTACCCTGTCTTTACTGCCCGATAGACATTTACCTCTACACATAACAACTTACCCTGTCTTTACTGCCCGATAGACATTTACCTCTACAAATAACAACTTACCCTGTCTTTACTGCCCGATAGACATTTACCTCTACACATACACCTTACCCTGTCTTTACTGCCCGATAGACAAAGTCCAGACTGAATGGCTGCCAAACTGACCACTGCATCACTGTGTACTGGACCGTAGGTTTTAATCATCTCCGGTTCCTGATTAGCAGTGTCACTGAACTCTTGTCCTCTCGCTCGTCCAAGCTGGTCAGTGTCACTGTTAGAATAAATAAGAAAAATAGTTTATTTTCAATCCATCCTTATCCAATGTTTTTATAGCTATTCATATGACAAGTATAAGTCAATTACTTTATTTAAGTGGATCAATGTGGCCATCAATTATCTTGGAACATGTTGGCATTACAAATTGAAAACAAAATACAAAGAATTTGAAAAGTGAAATCCTGACAGCAAAAATTTGTGCTATGTTTACACTTTCCAAATCTAAGACAAATTCTGAAATTGCTTATTGTTGTGGGGTCAACCTGAAAGCCATTCACAAATCCTCATAGTTAACATGATGAATCCTACTGTTACTGAGAAAATATTAATTCCATGGCAAATGCTAAACTACAAAATTAAAATATACATACTTCACATACAGACTTATGCTATATATACACATGTAATTCAATAAGTGAGAAACCCTCTTTCCCTCCTCCCTAATATCTATTTCTGCTCAGCCCACAGGGATTCCCAATAAATTCCTAACCCAGGTCAATATATATATGTATCATAGTGACAAGGGGTGTAACTCGTGAGAAGGAAAAACTGAACATTTGGTTCTTTGATATTCTAGGGGCTGCAGATCTTGATAACATATACCTTACCTTGAAGAGAAATGTTTTATCTTTCTAATGAGCATTTGATGAACAAGATTAATCAACTATATGAACCATGGGTCCATGCCAAATCCCTGTGCTTCAGTCAATATGTCTATTGCTGTTCAATGGAGACAAAAGGCCCTATCTATTTATTGCTGTTCAATGGAGGAGACAACAAGCCTCCATATCTTTTAGTACTAGTAGAAACAATTATTCCACATATCTATTTCTGTTAAATGGAAACAATAAGCCCCCATATCTATGTCTGTTAAATGAAGACAAACAGTCTTCATTTCTATTGCAGTTCTATGGAGACAATAAGTCCCCAAATCTATTCCTGTTCAATGAAGACAGCAAGCCTCTATGTCTTTTGTTCTTTAATGGAAAGAATAAGCATTCATATCCACTGTGATTCTATTGAGACAATAAGCCCCCAAATCCATTCTTGTTGAGAGGAGACAAAAAGTCTGCATGTCTATAGCTGTTCAATGGAAAGAGTAATATTCCTTATCTATTGTGGTTCCATGGGTTGAAATTCACAATACATGCTATTTTATTATCTTGTAACAACCCCTTAATATTTTGAGTGGCAGGTAGTGTGTAAGTCCTGCTAGCATACAGCAGAGTATACAGAGAATATATAAATACTGTACCTACAATGAGAAAAAATAAAAAGAAGTTGATGTGACTCCGCAAAAATGCAACAACTGCCAATCATGCTATGAGGATTACAGAAACATAGATAATTGGAAATCAGACAGATTTCTCTAAAATTACAATGACGGACTGACCGTCAAAATGAACTTTAAGACTCAAAGAAATATGAGCTTACAGAAATATCCACATTGTAAATTTAAACAACATAGCAAGCAAAGTCACATGGTCACAATGAAGATACTTTGTAACATGCTTGAAGCAAGCAGTTTCAGGAGAAATTATAAACAAGTGTATATGATATGTATATGTACTCGGTAATTCAAAATGAAGTTTTTGTATGTAAATATCAAACAGCATACTTCCATAGCATATTCTATACTTTGTTGGGAAAATCTTGATATAGTTGTAAAAGGTATATCTGATTATTTAATATCAATAATACCTTTATTCAAATGAAGAAAAACTCTATACATTTTTCATTATTCAAACAATTTACCTGGTAATTCTTTCTAAAAACAGCTTCCTGAATGACACCTACATGCACACTAGGTTTTTTTCGTTTTTAGTGGGTGGATAGACAGAGGGATTGCTTTTACAAAACTTGTAAATTCTCTCCACCTATACTCAAACTACAAATGAACAATGAGTGTATATCATACAGTATAGCACATATAAGTACATACTTTTTACTTTTTATTCCAGAAAGCGAAGACAAATGGTAGCCAGAATAAATCTTTAACAATATATAGTGAATGAATTTTTACATGTTCAAACAAATGCTCTGTAACATCATTCTTAAATATTTCAGAAAGATAATTATTATAAAATATCACATATTGAAGAAAAATCTTGTTGTTAATCTGAGTTTGTTGTAGGAGTAATATATAGATAAATATGGTGGTGGTGGGGAGGACTTTAAGAAGAGTGTTGAGAAATGTAGAAATGCAAGTCTATTACAGTGTAATATCTAATAACAGAATAAACATACAATGTATGAAATAGTTAAAGACCAGGCACTGATTATATGCAATTTGCAACCTGTTGAAAATGAATATGGCAAAAAAAATAATTGTAAAAAGTCTTCAAAACATTGACAAAATTCTCAAAACACCTTCTTGGCACTTCTATAACAAAACACATTCAGTTTTTAACCAGTGAAACATCTGTTGAAAGATTGAACTTTATACTGCTGAACGATAGACTTCTAGTGCCACATGTAAAGTGATTTGAGGGGAAGCAACTGTGTGTATGTACATGTATCAACCACTTAGGTGATGTATCATAATCCAACAGAGATTACAGCAGCAGTGATTTTTGGGAATGGGATATCAGAGTCCAGGACTCATGCTTTACCTGTGGGACTCGCCCAAACTTTTGGATCCGACCATAAATAATGGGGGTTTCAAATTGGTGTTTTAGACTCACTTGGAAAATCCTACAAAAATTACTGAAGCAGCTTTATATCCATGTAATGAGTGTATATTGCATTTTAGAATATGATATTTTGTATGTATATGTGCTATATTTATTTCCTTTTTTTCTTTTTGAATTAGACAAAAAAATGGCTTGATTTGAACAGAAATTTTTTTATGGATTGATTTGAACAGAAATTTTTTTTTCTCAACATATATTATTCAAGTTATCAAATTTAAGCACAAAGAGTGTGTGTTCTACATCAATGAAAAGAATTTTCTAAATAACTTTTAATTTCTTCAAGACATTACTTCTCCTGTGATACTGAAAGTTCAGCAATACAAAGTTTACCTGTTAATGGGTACACTTGATTCCAATGATTTGCTAGACTTATCGCCATCACAGAAACCTGATTTGTTGTGTTTGTTCGATATTCCAGACATATAAATGTACTAGATAGTGGGTTGGAATCAAATACACCCAATTACCAATGTACAGCAAACGTTTCATTGCTTAAAAGCTGTAACTGATACCGATGTTTTGTTAATATTTTTTTCATGATATGGGTTAAAGTTTTGGGATGGGCATTAAGTAGGATTAAATATAATATGTCAGTGACTTGACTCAGCTTTGGAATCCTGAGAGTTGGTAAGACTTTGAAATTTAAGTAAACTTTAAGTGAATGTCTTGAATGTTTTGGGTGTTAATCATGGATACAATGTCTTCTTGCCCTTAAACATACTGAAGGGAACTTACCCTTTATATCGACCCCATAAATCACGTACCACACCAGTAACAAACTCCATTATGAATAAATCACGTTGAAGACCTTTTGAGGAAACAAACACAGTTTCAATAATAATTGCTGCTCTGTGAAAAATTCTTAGCACACTGCATTGCTGCCTTGATTACATACATCACCCTGCTTTGTCCAGATTTTGAGTAAAGTATCACAGAACATTTGTACACCATGGGTAAAACATCAACAGGGTGCTTTTAATATTGAAGTAATATAGCATTATCTCATGGGCATGTAACACAATACATCTGTTGCATGTGATCCATATATATATATAGAAATAAATTGAAACAACATATAGATGTTAGCATTTTATGCTACTCTGAATCTTTCTCCCATTATAGGTACTGCAGCAGATACATACACGAACATGTACTGTCGTGCCTGCTCAATTATGATTTGAGCCATAATTAAAACAACAAGTTTTTATATGTACATATGCTAGTAGAAATTTAGCTACAAGTATGGTGCAGTCATGATGACAGTATTTTATGACCATCGGTTTTGGAATTTTAAGTGTGTTGAATTCAAATTTAAAGCGATTATGGACCCACTTGAATCATGTAAACCATATTTACCCCATTGACATTGAAAAAAGTTAGGCCTTCGTACAAATTTGTTTGTCCTGCAGATGCCAAAACATGCAAATCTTATAATAGAAAATAGCCATTTTAAAAATTATTTTCATGGTTCAATTAGAACAAACAGTACAGGGTAGAATTTGAAACAGGTATTCATATATTCATAATATTTCATTCAATAAATGACACAAAAGATGCAGATTTTGTTAACAGTTGAGCCTTTTGTTTGCACGAAAATCGACAAGGTATATAGGTTATACGCCAGTCATGATTGACAGTAAAGAACCAAAACTGGTGTCCCGACGATACACGTACTTGAGCTGTTGAGGTAGCTACATTTACTCAATTTAACAATACCACTACATATCGCACCTGTAATCTTTATCTTTGCTGCAACAATCACCCATCAGGAAAAATGATGCAATTAATGAAGTGACTTATAAAACTTCTCACATATCTGATATTCATTCAATAGACCTATATAATAAGCGTTGTCAACAATCCTGACGTCCAAGATTCCGACCTCCAGACGCAGGAGAGCTCTAACTCTCCTAACTCGTTAGTTGTCGTTTGTACCATCCATATCTTCCTGTTAAACTTAGTTGCAATGCATATGTGATCCAACGCTCAACAGGGATACAAATAAGAAATTATCATTGCAATTGTGATTGTTTTTTTCTCGTTTTTATCTGATATTACGTTTAAGTAGTTTGCCATTCAAAGCAGGCTGTGGGGTTAAGATTTATGATAGATAGAAATGCAGTACTTCTTTGCACGTCTGCACGGACTCGGCGGATTTTTGTCAAATTCAGTAAGAAACAGCATTTAGTTGGAGGAAGGGGGTTACTTCCTTTCAAGGAATCATTGGCTGAAAGGGAACATATTTTATATAGACTGTGTGGGCGGTACCCAACAAGGGAAAATAGAGCAAACTATCTAAATCTCGCTTCTGTAAAAATGCCAGGGTTCTGTTCCAATTTTGTTTGAAACATCCTTGATTGACAGAGACATCTGTATAGATGATTTGGCTGACCCCATGAGGTAGAGGGATGGGTTACAAGGGTGAAATACATGTGTAGAAATAAACCCTTAGAACTCATTTTTCTTCATTTTGGATAAAGTAATTTCAACCAAATCCAAGACAGCAATGCATGTCATGTTTGCCTCTTTTTTTTTTTTTTTTAAATAGCGATATCCTTTTCCTGACTAGCGATGCCAATTGCATTAACTTCTTGTAAGCAGCTCTGTTAGTTTAAATACACTCATCTTTCTTGTATGATATGCCCTTTAAGTTTCATATCATTATACATGATTTTATACAACCCTCCGTACTTTTCAAGTTGATCCAATACTTAAGTATTCTAATCTTTTGGTAAATGACCAAATCTGCCTGGTTCGTAGTTGACTGTGATCAGTGATATTTACGCATTAGGTATTTTAAAAAGGGAAAATCAATTATGGTTTGTCATCACACATAAAATATCTATATAGCAGCGGTACTTCCAAACTCATGGACAATTGCCTGATTTTGTGTTTAACAAAGTGTTCCACTTTAAATATAATGATATGATATCTGACGTTTTACCATATGTACCATCTCTCATCACCAATTCGACCTATTTACAAAATTTTATTTGTAGTCAATAAAATCCAAATATGACCTACTTTCCACGTTCAAAGCCTGTGATGTGAATATTGAATCAATCGTTGACAGATTTCTTTCTTAATCCATATCGTGCATTAGCAGTTTTATTATACCCTTTCTCAAACTGTACCAGTTGTTGATTAAGCTTAGCAATAAATGATATTCAGTGTCTTACCATTATGACGTCAGCACTCTGTTGACAGAAAAGTAACGACAGTTCGCCGGCAAATCGGTGGTTACACCAGGGACGTATATATCACATACGTCCCTGGTTACACTTTATTGGATTGCACTGTTGAAATTTTGTATATACTTTGTATAGTAAGACAACGCCGAAAGAGAATGAACATACAGACACAAACAAGGGTTTGCCTTCATAACTCTGTCATTTAATAATCCAATAAATGCCACAATGCAGGTCAACTTTTGTCTAGCTGTGTATGATTCGCCAGAAGCATTCGCCAGGCTGTTAGTGGAACAGTTTTTTTTTATTCAGGTTTTTATCAATAGTCACATACATCAATCACATCACATGCATAACTACACGTCATACATTGTACTTGTATCTAAAATTAATGCATATAATATAAAATATTACAGTGCATATGAAAACAAAAAAGTACATACTTGTTGACACTGTGTTAACAATACGTTGGAATACGATAATTCACTAATTTATTAACTGATTAATAAAGATCCATTTGTTTTGAATAATTTCTTGTTTTCTAAGGCTGTATCTATATAACCCAATGTCCTCTATTCTTTTGTATTGAGAAATATATTTCTTGCATTCAGAAATAGTTACAGTTTTATTTTTTAATTTACACAAAAATATAAAGTATTTCATAAGAAGCATTAAAAAATTGATTTCATATCTGTGTTCTATTTCTACTACACCAAGAACAAAGACTTCTGAATTTCTAGGTAAAGACAATTGGTGTTTGTTTTCTAATAATTCTATTAACCAAAACCAAAGTGTTTTAACAACATTACATTCCCAAAACAGATGTATAATCGTTTCTCTTTCATTTGTACAGAATGTGCATCTTTCGGTTTCTGCAAGTTTACATTTCATTAACTTTGTATTTGTATACAATATTCTATGTAATATTTTATACTGAAAAGTTAGAAGTTTTGTATCATCAGTTATCTCCCTTGATATTAAATAAATTAACTCCCAAGTGTCTTCACTAATGTCAGTATTAAAATTTTCTTGCCATTTTCTTTGACTATTTGTAGGTTTCTCAGAAACAGATTTAATAAAAATTTGATAGAAGTACTTTGTGACTTTGTCATGTGTGTTAAGGTAATCAATTAACCTATATTGAACATTTACCATAGGTACTTGAACATTTACATTCTGCAGAATTACTTTCCCTTTCCAGTGGAACAGTTCTACTGTAACCACATAACCCTAGTTATATTGAATTTGAGTTTGGGTTAAGATTATGTCGACATGCTGGTATTTTTTAAAGACTCGGGTATTCTCTCTATCAGGGGAACTGAACCTAAAGCCTTCCTCACAACTCCAAAACTGAGACAGTGTCAAAGGAGATATTTTACATCAATGAAAAAGGTCGTCAAAACCACTTGTTCCCCAAATCTAGAGGGAGAAAAAGTTACGTGATTGTAAGAAATCGACGGCAAATTTCAATCGGTTTCTTTTTCTTCAAATCGACAAATGCTCTATTCCCGACTTCTCTCTGAGCCGGTGCAAAGTTTGGTTTGGGTGTTAGCGTGGCGTACACCATTTTCGATACTCTAGAAGTTACGTTCACTCTTGCTCTCAATCATTTTATGGCAAGATTGAAGATACAACCGAAGTGATTTGATTGGTGCATAGAGTGGGCTTCGGGAGGAAAAACATTACCAGTCACAGACTTCTTCTCTCCTTTGAAGAAGATTACATAGTAGTGACACTCAGCTTCAAAGAGAGTACTACACACCGTTGTGCAATCATGAGATTCGGCGATGTTCATCAGGGGATCAAACTTGTCTTCTCGTCTTAACCACCAGGTGTCGTACATAAAACCTTCAATTTTGCCACGAAATGTTTCAGGGACCCAGAGAGTGATAGTGATCGTAACCCCTGGAATATCGAGGATGGGCGTACACCAAACAAGACAAGCGCTCGTGAATTTACATGGATAAACTATGAAAACAAATTCGATATACAATGTATATATATTGATCTATATTTACCATTTTGTGTTTGTGTTTAATGTAACGTTTCCAGAACTGACTAAAATTGTGATACTGAATGATAGATCGTGCATCGAAAATGTGACATTTCGTGTCCAGAATACCTTTTTTTTTGCATATCTCATTCAACTACAGAGTCTATTTCTGAAAAGGAATTTTGCTATAATCAGAAATTCGAAATAGTATGTGAAATCGGGGATGTTTCGTTGCTCCTTGTCTTCGAAGTGGCCACCACCATATTTGTATGATACCAGATCAGTTCGATCCCACTTCACTTCCTGTTCATTTGCTGGCTGCCTTATCCCTCAGTTAGATCACATGTACAGATGCTGTTTATAGAGTTGGGGATTATCACTTAAAAAGTGTCTCTGCAATCTGATTAAAACCACAATTTAATTTACCACGATTCCTTCCGTATTAGGAGAGAATCGAAGTAAATTAAGATCTGGTTATAATCAGATTGCTGTTCTCAGAGATTTGATTAAAGTTCGGTATGTGCACAACGTTTCTCATCTCCATGGTTTTTTTTGTATTCTATTTTTATGAAAGTTCCTTTCTGTAAACATTCAAATATCTTTTTCATATTCGGCAAAATATAATTCACATTTATCATTTGCCAAATGGAATTTAAAATTCAATGTTGTGCCTAGGCATTCCATATAAATTTGCTGTTTTGAATTTTTGATGTGCCGAATGCGAGCGAAATTAAGTAAAATTGGTATCGGTATGACAAGCCACGTTGGCATAACGACTAATTTTATAACATACACGTGTCATTGATTATTTGAGGAAATACAGGATCGACATTGGTCCACGGACAAGTGTCAACTTTGTTAAGTCTACCCATGTTTATCCTAATGGTCATTTGATTAAAAAAAAATAGAAAAATTAAAAAAACTGGACAGAGCACCTACATGTAGAAAACCCTTCAACGCGCCAATTTCTATAGTTCATGCAAAGACCAGCTTCTGAAGAAGAGAGAGACATTGTGCTACGAAAAGTGTAATAGGACGATGAGGCGATGGCTGCAGGTGGCAGATTGAGGAGACGGACCATATTAATGTTAGTAATGTTTACTTTTATTCTAAAAAAGATATCATGCTTGCGACAACTTTAACTTTTATCTTCTATATGAAATCAAACCTCGGGCAAAACGATTTACATGTACTTTGTTCGAGTTAACGGACAGTTTTACGGCTGTATACTGGAAATCAGAGACCAAATACTAGTTTTAGTTGTATCTATTAGGGTGCGTGTCAACATGCTGGTTGTCAGTTCAAGGAGTCTGTGACCTGTTACTGGTTATCTAGGCGTCTGTGCCCTGTGTCCAGTTACTGGTTATCAAGGTGTCTGTGCCCAGTTACTGGTTATCAAGGTGTCTGTGCCCAGTTACTAGTTATCAAGGAGTCTGTGCCAAGTAACTGGTTATCAAGGAGTTTGTGCCCAGTAACTGGTTATCAAGGAATCTCTGCCCAGTAACTGGTTATCAAGGTGTCTGTGCCCAGTTACTGGTTATCAAGGAGTCTGTGCCAAGTAACTGGTTATCAAGGAGTTTGTGCCCAGTAACTGGTTATCAAGGAATCTCTGCCCAGTAACTGGTTATCAAGGAG